ATAAAATAAAAACCAATAACGTTACTTTTTCGTTTAGGTCATTAAATGAACGCGAATGAGTTATATTATCACCTTAGAAAGTTCTTATCAGAAACTCCTTATTCTTTCATGCCACGTCTTTGTATTGACAAAACTTTTCCGCTTTTTTATACAATTTAAAAACAAAAAAAGGACAAATAATTAATATAATTTATATTTTTTTAAATACTTAACTGTTATTATTGCAAAATTCAAAGCCCGTCTAGCATAGTGGTTAAATGGCTCGAAAAATCCATTAAAACTTATTCAAAAGATAAAAAACCTATCATAATTTTGGAATTAAGCTAACATTTTATCGATCCAATCCCGGTAAATGGGTTTAAGTTATATAATTAATTTGGTTCTTTAATCACACTTTGTATTACAAGTGTACAGTTCAACGTATACGTACATAAAGTGTACATTACATATACGAACATTTAATAATGGTGACTTTTTTTTTATTGTGAAACACGGAATATCTTTAAAGTTAAAAACTTTACATAGAATTTGTATGTATTTTCATTTGTAAACGTTTATACAACATATTATAAATTAAATTGTCCACGATTCATCCGAATTTGTTCTTAAGAATTCAAAATGTTTTATAATTTTCTAAGATATTGCCTGCAGTAGTTTCACGATAAAAGAATCGTCGAACTTGTATGTATATTTATATCGTATAATATATTACAATCGTCAATCAAATTCGAGTTTTTTTTTATTATTTATTCTGTCGATAAACGTTCCGTCGGTCTTGTTACGATGAAAAAAAATTGGCCGTAAAATGTTTTATGTACGTATATAATAATATATTATATAATATTTAGACCAGTGCGTTCTGCACATCGATACGTCCATTTATAACGTTTGCCTTGCCGTGAGTGGTTGACCCATATCCTCTAATACATTATTCTAATATACGGCCATTTCGTCAGAAAAACGACATAAATCACACTGGAGCTTTTATCCTTGTTAGGTATAATATCGGCGGTCAAAACGTAATAATATACACTCCCCGGATATGTTATATGGTGCACCACCAGACGTATATTATACGGTTGTCTAAATTTTAACATTTCTCCCATTTCGTATGGTCACCATGCTTGACCATCACACTGCATATTGTAGGTATAAGCAATACTATATGACAATACTAATAATGTTATACATTTGTCTCGGGGAAATAATTTAGGACTATCGAATTTTATCGGACCGGATTCGTTGGCGATGCTCCAAATACTCGTACACAATCGATAGAGCGTCTTCAACCAAAATATTTCCCAGGATACAGGACCTGGCCTTTAACGAACGAAATGTAGCGATTTTGAGGTTAGAACGACAACGAAAATCTCGATCGTCGCCTCTTAAAGACTGTTATAATGATTATATTAAATATTAAATGTGTATACAAGTATTGTACACAGTAAATATATAGAATAAACATTTTAAATAGTAAAAAAAATATATAAATAAATAATAAATGTTTTTGCAGGTTTTTAAATCTGGCATATTGACCACGATAATAATTTATTAAATGAATTAATAACAATCTAAAGAATGTCATACAGAAATGGTGGAGTGTATTAAGTGAATAATTATTAATTGTAAAATATGAATTCGTTGCAATACGCTTAAAAGTTATAAGTGACCTATAAGTAAGTTTAAAATTACTAGCAATTTTCATGCTAACCGGGTTACGTGGTTATACTTTATGCTGTAAAATATGCATGTGTACGAAATCATTATATTTTTTGCTATAACACTTAATAACATTAACCACTCAGTGTTGAGATATGATCTCGTCCCATCAATTACATGGGCCATGGAATGTAAAATCCCGATCTAGATCGGGGGCACAAACCATCGCCTTACATAATATATGGACAAAGCACGTTTGATTTTATAGTTCGAAAATAATTATCCTTATACAATATTTTTAATTTATAATATCTATGTAAGATATTTAATTATTTGTTAATTTTTATTATTTTTTTAGGTTAATAAGTATATTGTTGTACGTAGGGCTACAGTTTACTAAAACACAAACACCGAATATATTATATTTTCGAATTTCGATCGATGCACTACTCTATCAAAGTATATTCAGCTAAATGCACCATTTAACAAATACTTTCTAAAAATATCATCTTGACCTCCCCTCACAAATATTTTCACCAACTTTACCGTTGTCGGCCTCAGTAATAATATATAATAACGCTGTATGCCTGTAAGCCTAGTTTAAGAGATCTATATCCCTACATTATAATATTATATTTTAACGAGAATAAAATTATAGAAAACGATAATATTTGAAAATAAAAATTTGTATGTCGTGCTAATATTTTATCAAAGGTTTTCTGGTATATTTCCCAAACATAATGTACACACACACACACCTACACACGTTTTATTAGGTACATAATATTATGTAAACACAACCAATTTTAAATAAACTTTGTGGAGGCGTATGCAACGATATTTCTACACGAGCCTATGAATAATATAGCTTAGGTAACTGACGTACGTACTACATCCTAACATTATGACTTATGAGACGCATTGTACCTTATCCTCTGTAAACAAACTACTTGTTTCGGCGACCCAGACGTGATAGTATTATGGAGGCGCAGTTGAGACTCGTTGAGCCAAATTTCTTCTGTACTTAAAATCGATATATTATACTAAATACGGTGAAGTGAAAAAAAAAGGTTATTGGTTATAGATCGTAATTTGTGGTTAGAATTCCATCACACTGTACACATTACACTACACAGTGACGAGAAAACGTCTTTTATTATACTCTTTTCAGAATAAGAACGCACCAGATTTACGTAACAAAACCGGTTTTGTGCGTGGCCGCCTGGTTCCTTCTTATTCTGAAAAGAGTATAGAAACTATTTTGAAACGGAAGCCGGTGAGACTGACGTGGAGTTGATGGGACGGACACCAAAAAAGACGACCCTTCAAGACTGTTGCATAAGACTTGATTACCAAAGGAAAATATCTTGGTTACCCGTTCACTGCGAGTAAAGAGTACACAATTATACCGTCGCCTCAATCGAGCTTAGGTACTATTGTCGGTGAATAGAACAATCGGTTATAGACCATCCCAAAATAAAACATTTATCGTCAATACCCAGTAAGGTTAAATAGAAAATTTAAAAATATCAATACAGTAACTTTGTAAACATAAATAAGTGTTATGTAAAATACGCAGTAGCGAGTTATAAGCTTATAAGTAGCTGCGAAGGGTTGGGAAAACCATTAAAATCGATGCCGTTGAACGAAAAATGTAACCTACCTTTTATTAAGAGAACGCCGCATGCGATGTCTCCTTCTTACATACATGTAACATGGAAAATTGTACGTTCTGAATAATCCATTTAACTCTGCCATGATAAATATAGGGAGCGAATTTATCTATTATCAAATTTAGAAGGAATACCGAATAATAATATCTAGTGAACCTTGTTTGTTTTATCAATTTACAATTTTCAACACGCAGAACTTACTTTAAAATTAAAATCTAAACAAAAAAATAACTCGAGATTCACCAGATGATATTCTTAGGTACTTTTAAATTTGATAATAGGTCAATCCACTCTTATATTATACATACATCTGAGCAGTGTGGCCATATTTTAAAAACCAAATTCAAATAAGTTTAGACAAAAAATCGCTAGGCGTAGCGCATATCCGCTACATCTGGCCACACTGCATCTGAGGTGAATGTATTATTCAGAGCGGCGATTAAAGATAGTATGATTTTTTTTATAGAAACAATTTAATGGGGCTCATACATAGACCTATTAACTAATGGACAGCGCTTAGAGAGAGAAACCAGGGGACGAGATATGAAAGAGAAAGAACTATGCGTTTGGGCATATCATGGAGGACCATTTACATTAGTTTTTTCATCCATGCGTATTATTATATAGTATATAATTAGTTAATAGGTCTATGCAAATAGTCCTCCATGATATGCCCAAAAGCATAGTTCTCTCTCTCTCACTCTATATCGTCTCCATGAACTATTGGCAGGGGGGGTGGTAGTCGCAGTCCATTAGTTAATAGGTCTGTGGGCTCATAGCATAGACCTTCTACTAATAGACGGTAGGTACGTGGTTGTAGTTCCGGTCTATTAGTATAAGGTCTATGGCTCATAGTTTCTTTTATTATCAACGATACTCTAGAAACATTCACTAGCGCTCATAGGATATAAATTAAGTACTAGACAACATTACTATAAAAAATGTTGTTCAAATTTGTGGTTCGATATTTAAACGTTTGGAGCGCCGTGTGCCTCTTAAGTATTGGCTATAATTTTTCAGATTAAATATACAATATGGAAAGAATAAAATATTAAGATTTACGCGTGTTGTGAGTAAACATTTTTTTTTTAAATAAAAAGCACTCACTCGTGCTCCATATCAAAAATCTATAATATTTACAACACGCGCACAACTGTATATTATAATACTATAACGTCCGGCCGACTTACCTTGCACGAATCGCACGACTTGGCTGAGTACTTTTGCTTGCAGTCGTACCTTGCCAACACCTCGTTGAACTGACATGACATGGCGGCCGCAATATCGTCCATGTCAAGCGCCTTGTTCACCTGGTCGACGCACGACTCCTTGTCCGCGTACGGCTGCTGTACGACCGACTCGACGGTGTGGTGGCAGCAGTGCCGTAACCGGTACCGGGACAGCCGGCCGGGCCGGCGGTACGCGCCCGGGTCGTCCGGGCACATGGCCGGTATGAGCTGCCGACGGGCGTATTCAAGGCACTGATGATTACTACTATTATTATTATTATTATTATTATCATTATTATCATTATCGTTATCGTTATTATAATTATTAATATTATTACTATCGTTATCGTTTTTATTATTGTAATCGTAATTAACATTATTATTATTATTAATATAATTATTAATATCGTTATCGTTATCGGCACGTCGGGCGCACGGGATGGCCGCGGGACACCGCGGTGGGCCCGGGCCCTCGCTTATCTGTCCGGTGCACGCCGGCTCCCGGAGCGACACGCGCACCAATTCGCAGGCCGCTGTGCCGGCCGTCGCGTTGTCCGCGGCCGGTGGCGTCGGCGGCGACGGTGGTGGCTTTGACGGTGACGGGGACGTGGACGAGGGCTGCGGCCCGGTCCGGTGCATCGCGGCGACCACGGTGACCGTGGCCGTGGCGGCCGTGACTGTGGCCGTAGCGGCGGACGTTGGCGAGGCGCCGGTTGCGGTCATGACCAGCGCTGCGAGCACCATCGGCCAAATGACGACGAGACGGATGAGACCGCCGCCGGTGCTGGCAGCGCGCATTGTACCGCCGGAACCGGCGCCACCACTCTATCACAACCGATCCGGCCGTTTCGCCTCGGAATCCGCATTTTTCCTCCTTGTACCTGAAACAAACGATGAAATGTTTTAAATTGCGATACTATGATATTATTATCGTTACAATATTCGTCCACGTAAACGTTCATGAGGAGGGCTCAAGTGCAGAACACAATTTATAATATTATTAATTTTTACGACAATTTTTTATACAATTATAATAATATAAACAAAATACGTTATAATATGACCAAAGGTGATTGTTGACCAAAACAAGTTAAAAATTAACTAGTTAAAAAGTTTAGTTGAATTAAAAAGTTTGTTTTTAACTTTTTAACCTGGAAATTAACTACTATAATTGACAGTTGAAATAACTTAGGTTTTTCAGTTGATTTAAAAATACTCCATCAAGTTCAAATTAAATTTTTTTTGTAATTGTTGGTTTTAATGGTTTTATACATTAATTAATTACAGCTTACACGATTATAAATTAATATAATCTAATACTATAATTACAGTACCTACCTAATAATACTATAATTTGTGTTAGGTATTGTTAGGTCTTGATAAAATAATAGTAGGTATATAACATAGATAGGCACAAAATACTCTTTTTGTCATCCACATACTAATTTAAAAATATATTAACTTGTTTTAAACATAGGTAGATAATTTAATATTTTTTACAATTTTAACTTTAAACTCATAATGAGCTTAATGTATTATTTTATAACTATTAACTTCTAACTTCACGATTATATGTTCATTTAACTTGAGTTAATTATATTAATTTACTTCCTCATCCCTGTAGGTATATGCCACAGTGAAAAAAAACAATACTATATTTCTAACAATAGAAAAATTGCAGGTTAGTAAAAATAATATTATATTCAAATAAAATAATATAACGTATAAACACTATTAATTAAAAATATCAGTAAAAAGTTTGAAAAAAGTGTACCTACTCGAGAGGCAAGTACAAAACTTGTACATCAAATAAATGATTTGGCTTATTACATTGGGGATCAATGAGGACTGAGGTTATTAGAACCATATAAAGACTACGATGCATTGCAGGAATTAGTGATAATGTAGGGAAAAAGCTCGATAGGCATTGTATATAACAGCTAGTATGGTGCAAAAATATAATAATATGTATTTAATAATTGAACGACATCATAACGTAACTGTGCTCAGTAGCAGATTTTAGGGAGCAAATATATCCATTCACAAATTCAGCCCCTCTCAATTTTATTTTTAACTATATGAAAAGCGGAATGGAAGATGATTCGATCTAATAATTCCAGGAATAATCCTGATGTATCATGTGTGCACTGACTGTAAAAAAAAAACTACACATCGAAAACCCGTACCGCAGTACCCCAATATTATTGGCAATTTATACGCTTATGTATTTATTTTTATATATATTGTGAATATTCCACTTAAAGTTTATTTCCGCATTTAGTTACAATTCTTATGTTGAAATTTACAGACAATAAGTGTTCAATTAATTCTTGATTCATTGTTATTTGATTTAATTTATTAAAAAATAGAAACGTTGCACTACCTTCCCCTAAATAATTATTTTATGGGGATCTTTGAACTGTTAGCAGACTTTACCTTTTTCCTTAATCCACCACTGAACGCGCATACACTCCTCGTATAGGAATGTATCCGAATGGGAATCATGTGCAGTCGGTGGTCGATAGATGTATAGCGGAACGTGTTTAGAACTCCCGACCTTTATTCAAACGAATATTTTGAAGTTACCTTCAGGCCGCACCCGCTGAGATACGTTTATATCCAAAGCGATTTCCTATAAGCGGCCGTTTCAACAATAATGTCAAATATAGATGACATATTATAATGTTTTATACACGATAACTTAACTTACAGCTATTGGAGGAAATCCAGTGGGGGGCTTATTGCTTATATAAGTATCCCCAAACATATACAGTTTTATAGTTATGTGTGATCGAAGCCCCAACGCTCACATTGATGATGTTAAAAATGTTAGTCCCTCTTGAAATTGTAATGGATTTCCTCGTATGCCTACAGCCAAGCAGTATTATAGGTGAGCACAGTATCGCGGGAGAGCGTGTGATGTATTATAAGTACTTATACTAAAAACAATAAAGAACAATGGCATAAATCACTATGAAATAAGTATGAACAAGAGAACAGTAATCGATTATATGCCGTTATAATTATTGTGCGTGATCGGTGTCTGGTTAAAAAAAAAACTACCTAAGGTAAATCCTGGCTTACTTGAGCACTTCATACTGATTTCAATAGTGATTCTTTGTGGCTGCTCGTTTGTGAGGTTTGAGTTGAGACTAACCACACATACACATTGTATACAAGCGGATGCACGAGAACTCCAACTTTTACCCGGGCCACTAGCTAAAATGGTTACACAAATGAAGTGAATACTATTGGAAAAGTTAGGTGGAAAATAATTTCGATACCGTCAGATGGTAATAATTTGGTTGTCTGCAACACTGTTTACAACTAATTTATCCAGACAACTTTAATTGTTGTGTCCTCAAAAGTTAAAACATACCTACTAAATTTTCAATTTCTCACAGAAACTATCATACCATAAAATCAATAAATTGCCACACTCATCATTCTAAGAAATTTTAAATAATGGAAATATCACACGAAATGACCTATTTTCCGTTCGGCAATGAATGCATAACGCAGGCTGAAAATAAAAAAAGTTACCTCGTCTTATTCTTTTTGTGAATTATCAGAGTTAAGATTTATCATGCTTAAGATGAGTACACTTTACTATAACAAGGAAGGAGCCGTCAGCTCGTTAAAGGATTTGCATTTTTCATAAGATTACGTGTATAGGAATTTTTTGTCTATAGTGTCATAAAACGGAGTATAGAATCCTCATTTATAAGTTATAACCGTTTAAAGCTTAACACGATTTATTTTTAATAACAATACTTTGTTAATGCAAAAAAATAAATAACCTCAAATGATTTTTAAAAATAATAAATAACATCCTGATGGATTTAAAAAAAATCTGCTGTACAGAGTACAGTAGGTTACAAGTGGGTCACTGCATAATGGATGGTATTAAATTTGAATTCAGTGATATAATATCATTGTATAAGAAAAATGATTCTGAGCGAAAACAGTCAGTCAGTCTATGATAAAACTAAGTATATTTGATGACATTTTTGTGAATAAAGTAATTTATATATTCACCTATTTACGTGGACCATTGTTATAAATTTTCAATCCTTAGCTACAAAAGTTGAACATTTTATAAATTTTTAATTACAAAATAATTATTAAATTTTAAATATGATAAATTTTGTCAAAATTCGAACTTTGAATGCTTATAAAAAAAAGTTGTGAATATGTATGTTTAATATTTTTCAACTACTATTGTTACAATATATCAGGAGCCTTGCATTAAATTTTTACCCAACAAATAAAATTTTATTGATATTTAAAGAAAAAAAACTAAGAAAATTGAAAACTGACAATAACCTTAAACAGCTCAAAAAGAATCAAAATATTTTCAAATTTTTATGGTGTATAGAAAATGAAAATATACACATTCAGTAAAATTTTCATGTATCTACAGTCATTTGTTTTTGAATAAGAATAAAATAACAAAACCGCTATGAGAAATCGAATGAATATCCAATATTGCAAAATTATGAACTTCAAACGCTCATAAAAATTTAATTTGATTTGCTTGTAGACATTTTTTTTTTTTTTTTGATAAAAGTAGAAAAACTTATAAGGGATCTTGTATTACATTTTCAAATCTTAGATTTAAAAAGAAAAATTTTACGAATTCTTAACTCAAAATAATTTGCTAATTTTCGTGATTTTTCCATATTTTGTCAATTTTTGAACTTGAAATGCTCATTAAAAAAACTGTGACTAAGGATTTTTAGTATTTTCAACTGCTATTGTAACAATATAGTAGGATCCTTGTATTCAATTTTCAAGCTTCTTTACTCAACAAGTAAAGTTTTATTGACATCCATAGAAAAAATAACTTAAATGTCCCTAAACAGTTCAAAATAAACGAAAATATTTTTAAAATTTTATCGTGTATAGAAAATGCAAATATAAACTACCAGTGAAAATGTCATGATAATACATTCATTTGTTTTAGAGTTAAACCAAAATCGAATGTGCGTAAAAATTCCCGTTTTTCCTTAATTTGTATGTTGTTTTTCCATTCGCTTTTGAAAACTATTCGGAAACTTAAATTTTTACCTCCGAAATGCACCAACTAGATTCACTTTCCCATCAAACAAGATACTGTTGAAAATAGTATTGTACTGCCCTTAACCATGATGACAGACACAAAAAAAAAAAATAAAATAAAAAAAAACACACATCATTGTAAAATCAATACATTCATCGTTTCACTTAGAATCTAAAATGTATCTATATATATGACACATATTATTAAAACATTTAAACGTAAAAGTAACTTTTCAGTAGGCAAAAATAATAGTTTATTAAATTACAATACTTTCACTTATTATTGATTTCTAATTTTTATTTTTTCTAAAGCTGCATAGGTACCTAATGATGTTACAATATTTATCGTATGTGTAATTTAATGGTTTTGGATTGAACGTATTGATTAATAAAACATTACTAAAATCAATAAAACTGAGTACCTACATATATATGTTCACAGACCTTTACAGTGTATATTTTGTAAGTGAAAGGTTTCAAAAATAAACTGAATCTGCATAAATATCTCATTTTGAATATATCAATGTTTGATACAAGTGAGTATTTTTATACACATGAATCAGGTAGACTAGGGTCATCTTTAGTATTAACACAAGCAAATATTTTGTTTTTTCAGTATAACTTATGAGGCACTTGACAAAAACGCTTCTAAAACCTTTCCCCGTTAACCGAAATCCTTATTCGAATTTAAAACAAAGGATCACCGCATGACATGTCTAAACACGACCCGTTTAATACGCATTTGGTGACGTGCGCAAAACCTGAATCAGCCGTCAGCTTATACCTTTCAGGATCTTTATCCCATTCAAGGATCAAGAAAGAGTGGTCGACAAGTTCAGTCTCCGATTGCGATCTCGGATTGATTGCTTCCGGATCTTTAAAAGCCATTTTTCAAATAGTCGAGCGTCGAAAATGTGTAATATTCTATCCATTCGCGAAAACAATAATAATTATAAAGTACCAATTATACAAATTTGGAAAAAAACATAACATATCACGACTACGATTGAGAAAAATTAAAATTGTATATTTTTCATGCTGATTTCACATCTTCACAAACCTGCAACAAGGTAGGTATATGACACGTTGATTATTAAAATCAAGATATACCATTTAAAGGTTTTATTTATTTTTCCCTTAACTCAAACACTATAATTCTGGTGTTTTCCAGTGAAACGTGATAATCATAAGACCAAGTTATTAGAATTCAGGTTTGTTGGGAAATACAAGAAAAAAATACCTACAAAAATGGTAGCTACCAAAACAAGTATGAAAGTGCTTTTCGTGGCCCTTGAGGAAAAGTGTCGATATTCGGTCGTTCAATGTTTGTTTCCAATCAGTAATCGCAATACTCTTTGTAACCCTAAAAATCATTGGCTGTATCGGAGCTTTGCATTTTACATTTGTAACCGGGAACAATGAGAAACAAAAATTACAAAAATAAAAAATGATTATATTTTGATAATCCCGTTAAAAAAAAATTAGTTATTTCATTACTTTGTGCGTTTACTATTTTACATTCAACAACTCTATCGTTTAAGTAAAAAAAAAAATTGGTTATTAAGTGGACGCGTATCGTATATTCCGTGCTATGGTTAAAATTAAATCTAGTCATAAAAAAAATATGCAATTATATTATCAAATTGAAAAGTTAAAATAAACGATGTCGCCAGCTTATCGATTCGTATAGTGCTTGAAACGGTATTAACACGTCATACTTTTGTACCTGTCAATTTGATTAATTTTTTTGTGTCACCGCCCTGTAATGTTATACACGAAATGTACGACACATAAGACTATGTACATTGCACTACGGATAATAATAATGTTTACTGGTCATTAAAAGATAAAATGTCTAGTGTATTTAATATGTCAAAATGCATCGACACGCATCGCAGCGTTCAATAATAATATACACGACACACGTCATATTAATAATATAATATACTGCAAAAAAAGCACAATGTGATGTTTATTGTAATAGGTATATTATACACCCGAACGTATTATGTTAGTATTTTGTAAAATATAATAATACGTCTATTATAATACGAGTATAATATTATATATCCGTCAAGACTGGAGGTAATAATAATAATAATATCGTTTATATAGAGGCCCGGTGGTAGTCCGACACCGATTCCGGCCAAAATATTATATACGTCTAATACCGATATCGTATTGCATCGTCGTCCCAGCTATATATTATACGTCTCACTTAAAATAATTTAATAAACTAATCATAAAATATTTTCCAATAGGTATATTAGTATTGTACACAGTATGTCGGAGTGATCACGTGGGACGTTCAATGTTCAAACCGAATTGGGGGGGGGGGGCAAGGCCGAGACGATTTATATATAATATTTAATGCCATCCTCGCCGTCTAGGGGAGCTGATGTGGTCGGCCTAGTGTACATATTTGTAGTGTCTCTACGGTATAATAATAGTCAGTGTCACGTCACCCAGCAAAGGTATACACTACAATCTACACCCACATTTAATATTGCGATGACACCACCATCATGTTTAACTATTCGACGGGCGGTTCGTTTTCATCGGCACGTGTAACCCTCAGTCTTTACGCGGTATACCCTCCAAATATCGCATTACGGATTACCTCAGGACAGGCGGCAGTGCAGGCTGTGTGGCGTGTGGGCTTGGTGGGTGTGACGGATGGATGGATGGAAGGATGAATGGATGGATAGGTGGGTAGGTGAAAGCTGGGCCGGTAGAGGCTCGAGAGAGTCGGAGCGTTTCTGAGAGAATTACTGAAAACAATGTCTGAACAATATCCAAAGGTTCATCGAGTAAGTGTGTATATATTATTGTTAGGTATATAATATTATAATAATATAATAATATGCACTTATAGATAGGAAAATAGTATTGTTATATTCGACGTACATAATAATATACTGTAGCTCACTGCACACGCTGTCTACATTTGTCTCATATTTTGAAAGTAACATTGTCTGCCTGTCTGGTATGATATTGTTCTCTATGTAAGAGCCGCGTATTATTTTGAACCGCGTACTTACTTACTTCACAATACGCGTCCGAATTTTCTCGCTACACGTTTTCCTATACGTCGTATCATAATATTATAATTTATAATATCGGAGGAACCTCAGACATAGGTACACAGCTAGATGACTATAAATTAAATAGCAAACGTTGCACATGTAATGCACGGCGTGCCGTGGACAAAAATTGACAACATGTAAGCGATCGTAACCCACTCGTGCGCGACGATGACGACTATAATAATATATTATTGTTATTGTTATGGCGTAAATGTATATGGCAATGGTATAAAAAATATATATTTATTACTATAATGATATATTACTACCTACCTACATACGATATATTACGTAGTATATAAATACGGTTACGAGTGATAATGGTGTGCACGGCTGCAGATTTCCTTGGGCCGTTTTATTGTCTTATCGATTTTATTCGTAGCCGCCTGGGGGACGTGAACGAGGCGGCCGAGACGAACGCGTAATAATAATATTATTACTATTGCCGTCTCTCGGATTGTTATCGTCGTCATTCTCGAGTATTATAATATAGGTAGGAAGGTAGGTAGGTAGGTATATGTGAATATTATATACACTTTGTATACGAAAGTACTTATTAACGATAAACACCGCGTGACGACCGGACGATTACCGTAACGTGGTTTCCGGTAGACTACGCAACGACACGGGCGAGGTACGCCCGGTGGGCAGACGGAGGCTATGGGGGAGGAAAAGACTAAAGAGATGAATTTAACGAATAACCAAGTTACGAAACGATCTCCGATAATAAAGCTATTGCGTATAGTGACCAGGAGCATGCGGGAGAAGAAGGGAAACCCGCAGGGGGAGAAAAAAAATTCCCTGTACAGTGCAGTATTATATTATAGTGAACAATATAGACAAACCGCATAATTAATATCGGATAGTTGGAGACTCAAGCCTCCCCACCCGCTCGTTCAAAAAAAAAAAACGTAAGGAGAAATAATATGGTTTACCTTAACAGGATATTATGCTACCAACGCATTTGTTGTCTTCGTCTTGGACGTGTACTTCATGGCAAATTTCTTCGTCCAGTAGTTTCAATGGCGCGCTATTAGTTTTGATATTGGAGTGAATATTGAACTATTATAAAACTTTTAGGCACCTAAGAACATTAGTGCTCAAGCGTCCGATATTATTCAATATTTTATTTTCAAACGAGATTTGAGCATTTTTAATTTGTGATATTTCACATACAACTAATTTATTGCTTGAAAATTAAAATATCTAAAAAATAGCAGACTCTCAAGCACAGATAAAGTTTTTACCTAAAATTTTGATAATAGGTAAATTCACTCTAATATCAAAATTAACAACACACTATTGGAACTATTATAGTGAATGGGTAATTCCCATGTCATGCGTCTGTACGGAGGAGACAACAAACGCATGGGCAGCGTCCTCTGAACTCAAAGGCCGATCAATATGTATAGATTTACGAAATCATTATCAGTGTTATATAATTTGCTATTACTAATATTTACATTGAATTAGTTTTTAGTGCATATTGTAATTATATAGGTAACATAAATGCCTGATTGTTTGTTTACTTTAACCACCTTCGAAATCGTCACATTAACATTATGTGTCATAGCAAAAATTAGATTTAAAAAAAAAAAGTTCGGCAAAAAATAATTTTAAGCTCGAAACTTAAGACCTCCAACACAAAAGGTGCCCGCTATCCGATACTCGACTACGGGGTAGGTATAAAGGTCAGTCGTTGTAGATAGAAAAAATTGATAAAAAAAAAATGACTAAAAAACTATCATGGTATAATCATTACTTGACGGATGAGTCGGTAGCGCGTAGTGGTGGCGGTGGCGATGGTGACGGTAATGTTGTACAACAGCTGCAACTGCCTGGGGAAACGACGATTTGACGACTTTGGTGATGCGTTGTAGCGTCGTGTCGACGCCAGAGATCATGTCGCGTCGCCGGGCTGGTGACCCGCACAATCGACCATAACAACACAAGGCCCGCGATGGCGGCGGTCCGCTGGCCGCACACGACGACGACGTTGCCGTAAAACGGTGCGGGCTACGCGGCGGCCCATAATATCAGTGTAGATGGTGGCGTAACGCGGCTGACCACCGAGTCGTCGTCGCCGCCACCGCCGTAGTGGTAATAACAGTCGTCGCAGCACCGGTAAACACAATTATGGTTACGGTATCAGTAGTCGTAATGGTCGTGGCGACAGTCTGAGTCGGAGTATCACTATGAGTAGTGGTAGTGTTATTCGCAATAGCGTTAGAATTAGTAGAGCGAGTAATAGTTGTCGTAGTAAAAGTAGTATCAGTAGTCGTAGTGTCGGCGGTAGTAATGTCGAATGATGTAGTAGTCGATGCGGCAGCAGCACCAGTAGTAATACAGAACGCAGCGACGGTAACAGCGGCAGCGGCGGCAGCAACGGCGGCACGAGTAATAATGAAGCCGGCGGCGGCGGTGGCAGCAGCGGTAGCGTTAGTAGCGGCGGTGGCGGCGTTGGGAGACATTGACGCCGCGACCGTCGTCGCATACGTCGACGACACCGCCGACGCGGTCATGACCACAGTGGCCGGTGCGCCAGCGTCCGGCGGTAACGCGCGTTCTGACCCTTTTCTATATGTTCCGGAATCGGAGGATTTAAAGGGGAGGAATTGACGAGAAATCGAAAATCGAACGACACGAGCACTCTTTTGACCGCTCCCCCCTACTCAGATTTTATCGTTACTTGTTGTCGTCGGCGTCGTCTTTACTCTTGTTATTATTGTAATTTATATTTTATTGTGATAAAATACCACCGGACGCGATGATCGTTCTTCGGGCGAACCGATATCGTTGTTGAGCACGGATACCCGTTCACGAGCCCAAACACCCGCGCGTGCTCGCACACACACACACACATAGACCCAAAATACACGCGGCCGCGACGAGAAACACTTGCGAAAACCGGTGGGGGGCGCGACCGTCTGCGAGACTACTCTATACTGCACCGCGTAACGGGGTCCGGGGTATATATAGAGCGGAGCGGCGCGAGAGGGCGCCGCGGCGGTGGCCATCTTTCGCAGATCGATATGACGCGCGTGCGAAGCACCCCGTCTCCCCCCACCGAGCTCGCACACCCGTTCCGCTGGCCTGCCGACGCGGTTTTTCCCGGCGCCGGCGCACGCACGCGCCACCGCGGTTTATACGCTATTCCGTTACTATATACTCGTGTGTATGTATATATATACTTGTACGTTATGTACATTGATATATGTATATAACGTATGTATTATATATAATATATATACGTTTATGTATGTTCGTCGGGCGTGGCGAAACTCCACGGTGTCGGGGGTGAAGGGGGGAGGGTGCTGTATATACTGTATAGACGAGCACGCGGGGTGACCGCTGCACCGCCATCGTACAGTATTTTATCGGCCGACAGTGAAAAAAGAGAACCACTACGACGACGACGACGACGACGACGACGAACAGTATATACGGAACAAGCTTCAATAGTGGTGGCGTTGGCGGTGGCGGTGGTGGTGGTGTATCGGGATGAAAAAAAAACCTCTAATAGATAATGTGTTCACTTTCTTACAACCCCCAAGCCCCACGCTCGCGATCTGCCCATCGCTCTCTCCCATTTCCCTCTATCACCCACCCCCTCTCTTTCTCTCTCTCTCTCTCTCTCTCTATCGTTCTCTCACCCGTTTCTCACTGTCTCTCTCCGTCTCTATCACCCATTTCTCTCCATTCTTCCCCTTTCACTCTCTCACCCTTCATTGTATATTTTCTCCATCGCACCCCTAAAGCCGCGTACGATCATCCGCCACCACCGCCCACGCACTACCCCGGCTCCGATAGTTCTGGACACATTCGATCACGGTCGTAAAACGAAAATACAAAAAAAAAAATTGAAACAATCGCCACCCACCCCCCTCGAACCGATCTGCCAGTTGCCACCTATCCTATACGCTTCCTTCCTTCATAGTAGATATAATTCTTTTAGTAGTTAGGTTTAATATTTATAATTCAATAACGAAAACAATTTAGGTGAAAAGCCTAACTGTAGCAGATAAACAGATAATAACAATAATTTATAAATTTAAAAACTAATAAGCATAAAGAAAAACCGTCTAGGGGCGGAGTCGCCACTATCTCCCCTCAAATATATGACGCGAAATGCGTTTTTGTTATTATCATTATATTATTATCGCTGTATGCGGTCGTTTTGCCACTGATTATTATTATTATTATCATCGGATCGGTGAACAAAACGCATCTTTGACTACTCGGTATGAAAAGCTGATAAAACTCGCCGGTAGTCGCTTATTGAAAAACGTCGAACAATGTACATATGTGTGTCAAAAATGAATTCACTACATGAGCAAGAAGACAAGGAGCATTTCACGTTTCAATGACTTTGACATGATTTCTTATTTAATAAAAACGCTATTCTTTAATTTGACACGCAAAGTAATCTAATTCTGTTGTAGCGATTGAAACGTGACGTATTCATCATCGGCACCACACGTATTTTATCCGTACACCCGTCCTTTCAGTGATATAATATAATTGTTAATATGATAATATATTTTAAATGGTTATGAAATTAATGTACCTACAACATTCGAATTAAAACCACTCGGGTTTTTCCAATATCACTGCCATTTTGGGTATAATGTTGATTGTGCCAATAATAATTGACTGTTGTTATTATTATTAATGTTCCTGTTCATCTGCATTATCATAATATAGTAATATAATAATCCATATTGACAGCGCAAATAACTTCAAATCGTCACAGTGACGAATTATTAATTTCAAGTGAAACTGATAGGGTTCATATATTTTTTGGCACACAAATAATATAACTCTGCCATGATTGTAAAATAATGTTCATAGCAAACAGATTAAATGAGTCTTTCGAGAAAATAATTTCTTCATATCCCAATAGATTTTTTTTTTTTTGTATCTCGATGACACTAGGTATATTTATTTTTATTGATAAATTACACAATTATACTTACAAATACATAACAATGTATGTTATAAAGATATAGTTTTTTTGTTTTTATTATTATTTTAATTCTGTGCTTTTTCGATGTAATAATTTATTATTTATCATTTAAATCTAACCGGTACCAGTATGTGATAGCTAATTGGTAAAAATAGTTTTAACAGGAAATCAATAATTAATTAGAAATTACATATTATATATAACATAATAAACATAATATGATACTTAGACCAAAAAATATAAGAATCAAATTAATTTACAGAATCAACATTTTTTAAACTAGTATTCTGTTGTTCCAAAATAAAAATACAAAGAAGGTCTGCATTTTTTGAGTATTTATCATAGTTGTAAAATAATTTTTTTTTAAATATAAACTTTTGTAAAATTTCAATAACACTTAAAATATGTAACTACTAAAATAATAATAATTAGTATACAATCATCGTTATATTCAAGCTTTTTACATTATTTAAACTTAAGATATTCACAATATTTGGGAATTATTTATGAACGAAACCATGTATATTGTAGGTATACATCAAAATATTTATCCAAAACAGTAAAACTTAATCAAATTTATCAACAAAAAAAACTTACTAATTTAACAATATTCATAGGTAAATTGAATATTCCTTTGATCGAATTCGACTCAAAAGAAATTGTTTCAAGAATTATTTTAAATTTTGCATATTTCCTACAAATTTTTTTTCATTTCTTTCATAAATTTATAAATCTAGGTGTATTTGAATACTAACCGATTATGTGATTTTATGTTTACAAAGTTATACTTTGTAATTTTGTTTTTAAAAATGTATTTTTTCCCTTTTCTTATGCAATTTTCAATTTTATTTTTAAAAATATTAAATCATGACAGATATAATTTCTAAATTTTTTAACAGTATAATAATAATAGTTCAAACATAGCCACTATTAAAGTTTGCTTACCACTGATAACTTACGTCCGATAACAGCAAATATATGCTACAAATATTTAAATTGTACATCATATCATAAGAAAATTAACAAAAGAACATGAAAATGTATATGTGTTTCTTAGATAAAGTCTGGGGGAAAAAAATTATTTATGTACAAGCATACCTCAATACAATTTTTTTTTTGTTTTATTAATGAAGTGAATAATATAATATATTATTATCTTACCAAGTATTCAACGGTTTTTACCTCGTTTTCTTTCGTTTGAAAGTAATGATATTAATCTATTTGCGTGATAAGGAACGTTTAAATCTACTTAATTTTCAGCAGTATTATCCATTAGAACTGTCTGAACGGTTTCTTGGCATCCGTTTGCAATTCTATACCATTTGGTCTGTCGCAGTTAAAAAGCCACTCCTTTCTATATAAAACAGATCGTTTTCCCTTAGAATTACCCTAATGTATAAGGCAATCGTTTTACGTATAAGGAAATTATTAACGGCCAAGAGTTTATACATTTTTGAGAATGGTAAAATATTTTTTTGAAATATAAAACTATTTCCAGTTATAGTCAAACATTTCAACAATTACACCTATCTGATGATTAAAATGTAATTAGAATAAAACAAAATTCTTTGTTATTATTTCGTACCTATTTTTCAATGACAAAATTACACAGCATATATTTTAAAATATAACTTGTGGCTTATTTTTTAAACACGATAAATAATGATAAAGATCAATATTACTTATTAGGTACTTTTTAATCTAAGCCATCATTAAAACTATCCATCAAAAAATAATAAATCACCACCCATTAAGGCATTTATTTTATACAAGTTTAGTACTTAATATAAGTATTATAAAATATAATACTTATTGTTTATAAATATTAAATACTGCATGATAATACATACTACATACATAATACATAACAATATAAGACACAGGCGTAGGTCACGGACTTGATAATCGGACTAAACTAACCAATTTTCATTATGGTTTGTGCTTGTGCCTGCTCAATCAAAGTGGTTTTCCATAATTTACATCAATCTAACTATACTCAAGAATATTATTGAAGCAACTCTAGCTGAATTAGATTTATCCGTATAAATGCTTATAGCGTTCATCATCGTGTCGAGTCTACTCTTTGGACAAACTTCCACCACCGTATAAGTTTTGTTGATTTTAATTAAAACGAATTCAACCAGAGCATTTACCGGCTAACCTAAAATTTACCAATCCTCTTAAATTCAAAAGTCGTTGTTGAAAATCTTCTTAAAACCCATCATCCTCTGTTATGTAAGTGGCATTGGTAGTCTTACCCATAAGTACTGAGTACAACCCCCTCCCCCACTCATGTGTCATGAACATATTATTTAAGTTAAGATGTCCATCCAATGAACTATAAAATATGCTTATCATACAAAAATGTTATATTCTTTCAATAGAAAAATCACCCTAAAAACTTAAAACTTATATTTTTAAAAACAATACATTTTAAGGATTTGGATGGTAATTTGTGTGTTCTATTTTTTTCATCTATCCTGAAAAATACCTGACGACAAGTGACAACTGGTAACTAGACAATCAAAATACCTACTCAATGCACTTGAAATAACT